ATGCGGGTTTGAGGGAAAAAGGGTGAAAAACAAGAAGTAATAACAAGAAGGGTGGGGGGCAGAGAGGAGTGTACAGGTCAGAGGAATTAGGCTATCAGGTTTTGGCATCTTGTTTTGAACTCCAGAACCTGATTAAGACCATTACGGCGTGATTGACTATGGCCTCAAAACATGCATGCAGCTCTGCAGAGAGACAAAGACATTACGCGTGTCGCCACTGAGACAAGTGGATACTTGAACAGCGATGTTGGGAGAAGAAAGTCATATCTATGCTGTCGCAAGCCTTCAGGCAACAACATTATTTACATGTTTTGCAAGAATTTAGAGCATTCTTGATCTTCTGATACAAAACAGCCACTTGATTCTGTGCAAGTCCTTGGTGAGAATCAATGTTTGACCAAAAACAATCCCTTCAATCTGGCAACTTTCCACGTGTCCCTTTGTTACAAACCAAGGAAAATTTAGTAGAAAGAAAGGACTAAAACATCTGCTTATTGATCTCCTGAAGAAAATTTGAACAACTAGAAGTTTGGTGAAGCAAAATTAATCCGTGATTCAATGGGAGCAGGAATTATATTGTCACACGAGGCCAGGTTAGTTTGGATTCCTTTCTTCCCTTAACAAATAAATCTTCATTTCAAGTCAGCTTTCTTATCCTTGTCTGATATTAACATTTTTTCAAGGATTTTAATGTGATAATTTATGAATAACAAAATAGGCATTAAGAAGAAAAAAATTCCAGAAGAAATGCAAATCCTATTCAAGTACTTTTAAATGTGTTGCAATAAAACAAACAGATAAGACAAAAGCTGGGCATTTTGCATAGACAAAGGTTGCCGAGTGCGTCACCATCCACTGTGAGGACAATGTAGAGAGCTCTTTGACGAAGTAGGATGACAAATTAGCTTGTGGATAAACTCCATCAACACGAGTGCTAATAGTCAAGTGTTCTTGTTGAGCAATAGATGTGAATGAGCTTTTCAATCTGTTATTATCAAGCTGAAGTTAAACACATTTCCATGTTGGCAGAGATATCAGCTTGCTAAGGTCAGAATAACAACAAATCAAGCCATCCAGGACACCTGCTAATCTCCTGATAAACCCACCAGCCTAAAAACAAAGTGTAAAACATAAAAAGGTGTAGAAAAGGTCCTTGTTTTTCTGTATAAGGTATACCTCCAGAGGTTATTAACATTAATTATGCTTGAGTTTATGAATTTTTCAAGTTGAACCATTTAAATAATTTTTTTTAAAGGCAGGGTAAGAAATCAACAAGTTTAGAGAAACTAAATATAAGAAAATAATTGCTTTATTACTACCTATTAAAGATGGTTATATAAACAGTGATAAATAAAGAGGCTGTTTGCATTGACATTGTAATGGAGATTAGTTGCTTTCTGTTTATTCTTCTACACAAGATTATTATTCATGAGTTTCTCCCACTGTTATTGGGAGGGACAGAAGAAAAAACTTTGATAACAAACTTTAAAATTATCCCCATAAGCAAAGTTAAAGGGAGACCCAAGAGACGGAGAAGCAGGACATCTAAACACCAAACCTGAGCAATAACGTCAGCTCAGCGTCAGCGTCTGGGAAGCAATAAAGCTAAACAGCGTATACCCGTAGCGTAGGATCTGAGGAACGGTCATTTGAGAAGACGCTTCCCACGTTCCCTGACCTGCAAACTTTGGGACCATGGCGACGGTACTACTGAGTATGGAAACAGCATGAGGCAGCGAAAAATCTGGCCAAGAATATCAAACAAGAACTGCACCAGAGTCTGACATCTGACCCGACGAGGAGTGCCTTAGCAGAGGAGAGTTTCGCACCGACAGGCATTAAACCGCACTTGGAAAAGATGTAGTAACATTATGACGATAATTTGACAGCATTAAAAGCAAACAGCATGTCAACAGAAAATGGCACGTCCAAATGTGGAGACACATAAACCAAATCAGTCAGGGAGAACAACAGAAAATGACGAATCTGACCCTTTTCTGAACTCTGGTTAGTCTGAAGGTTCTGGAACAAATCCCTGTCTTCCCAAACCTTCCATGGGATTTTGGTAAATCACACACGGCTTGCAGGTACTTCTCAACCCACCTCCAAACAAAGTCGAAAGATCCCTGTAAATTGTCTAAACCAATCCTTAAACAGCTGCTTCACAGAGTGTTTAGTTGAAAAGCTGGAAGAAACAACAGCTTAGCTGCAGGAGCTACAAACCAAACGAGCTGACAAGCCAAAGTCTCTGAGCAGCAGACTTCTAAAGCTAGGGAACTTCCTTTAACAGCTATATGAAAAAAAACAACTTTTTTTTTTTTTTTTACTTTTACTATTTCGTGTTCTTTTTGTGTACAATGTTTACTTTGGTTTCTCCAGGTTATGTTTTGATATCCAGATGCTGTTTGGGTCATGCTTTTCAGTCTGTTTATTTCTGTTCATATTCCATTATATTTTCTTCTTCTTTACATCACAATATTTTCTATATAACGGCAAAAACAAGGTAATTGAAATTCTGTGGTTAACAATCCAGCAAATACACCACTTTTTTTCCCTCCACCCAGTATTTTAGTTGTCCAGGTTGACTGCTGGGTGTAATAACCCATCCAAAGTCTTTATGACGTCCCCCAGGATCAGAAACTCCTTTGAGTGCCTGGTGAAATAGATTTTTTCTTTCCTGAAAACGTACATATATCAGCAGAGAATGTTGTGCAAAGCACTTCAAGGGACCAGCGCTAATGCAGCCTCAGCCACTATGAAGAAGGATTAGTTCAATCAGTCTCAGGTGTCAGTTCCGTCTGTCCACAGAAACAGCAGACAAAATGAAGTACAATTTTGTTAAAAATGAGCATCGGGGCCACTGCAGTGCTTCCTATAGTCTTTAGGAAGCATGTGTTCATTCATATTGTGTTAATATTTACATTTAGAATAGAATAGAAAATCTCTTTACTGTCCCACAATGGGGAAATTGTGGTGTTACAGCAGCAAAAGGTTATAGTAGGAGTGATCACACAATGTGCACATTAGAAAAGTGTATAAAAATAACATATGAAAATAAAACAAACAGAGAATTGTACTGTACAGTTTACAACATACATACTCTGTATCTGGAGAAAAAAAAAATCAATAACAGCTGTGGACATTGTCACCATAACGGATATGTGGAAACAGAGCTGCAAACACCAGAGATGTGCAAAAATGACAGCAGCGTGTTATTTAACTGACTAAGACAGAAACTGCAAAAATCAGCATGAATGGAACAATTTATTGAGGTTGTTCGAAACAGTGATGGTTATAAGGTCTTACAGCTGCTGGAAGGAAGGATCTATGATAACGCTCCCTGGTGCATTTAGGGTGCAGCAGTCTGTCACTGAAGAAGCTCACCTGTCACTGACCTGCAGTTTGTGTTCAAATATTTTTAGTAACATGTTTAGAGCTTCTGTTCCTACTTAAGCTTTCTCTGCTATTTACCTTCCTCATATAGCCTATAAGGGTAAAGCACATGGTTGTCATAGTTTTCTTTCATTCTCCTCTCCCTCTCTGCCAGGCTTTGGCTCTAACCTGCAAAACTGACCTGAAAATGTTCTGTTGTTGAAATCTTTTAATAAAAAAAAAAAAAAGTTTCTGCACCGCTAGATTATCACATCTAAGCTATTAAACTACAAATATATTGAAACTGTTACTTTGGATATGATGGGCTGCAGCAAAACCAGTTGCTGATAGGAAGTATTTGAAAGCATGATGTGTTTTCATTTTTTTCAACATCTTCTAAAGCAGGAAGTATTGGGAAGCAACATGCAAGTGTGCTATTAAGTTACATGTTTTAGCCACATTAGGTAGATTATTCTGCGGGGGAAAAAAAACCCACACCAAAATCTCAGAGAACTCTAAGGACAGGAATATTAAAAAAAAAGAAGAAAAATGCCTACAAACATTTGAGAAGAATGAGGAGCCAATGGCGAGGTGTCAGGGTGACGCATGCCTTTTTTCCCCCTTCAAATATGACAGCTTTAGCAAAGATGTCATATTCGTTCATCACTTCTCAGCCCATTACCTCCCAGAGTAAAGGGTATTTGGCAAATTTTCTTTCTGATCGTACTTTATTTTTCACCCTTTCTGGTAGAACCTGTCGAAGATTTCAATCTTCTTTATATAACAAAACAAGAAACACATTTCTCTGCCCATAACTCCTTCCAATGAGCTGTAAATCATTCCTAATCTTCCCTTTAAAACAGTGGGAAACTGCACTTTAGTTATCTTCAGAAATATGTTTAGGAAATATAAACTGTGTTTTTTAGGGTGTAATTGTTACATGGTTTACCAAAATAAGCTTGGAGACTCACAATTTTGACAAATTTTTCAAGCTGGAAGCCCCGGGGGCGCAAAAATAAGAACGCTATGGCTTTTTATGGTACGTCTCATCAGCCAGTGGCATGAAGCTGAACCATATGGTGAGGGACAGCAGGGTCAGGTCCAACACAGCCCTTGTATCTGCCAAAAGCCCCGTGGGGCAGGTTGTGTCTATGTGGCAATGGCAAAAACCAAGCTATTAGGACCTTGTTGTGGTGAAAGCTCGATCTCTACCGCACCAATGTTATGCTTTAAGAATCAAAGGCCATGGTCTGTTCCTGATACCTCCCTGTGGGAGCTTTAACATTCTGCGCTGATTATGTGCATACTGGAAAATCTACAAAGGTCACAGGTTAAAACAGCTGTTCCTCCCCAGGAGATTTTCCATCACACTTCAGGGTTCCTTCTCTTTTTCTATTTGAAATACCAGACTTTTCCAGGCTCACATGCCCAAATATCAGTCAACTTTAGAGCCCTTATTTGAACCAAATTACACATTTTAAGTTGGTAACACCATCAAACTCGAAGAGCCGTGGAGACATTTAGCCAACATAGTGCACATTAATGAAAGACAATAAACACTACTACACTGTAGGTTGATTCTCTAGCGTGCCAACACATGCATTATTGTTTTTAAGGAGTTTCCTTACCCTGTAATAGGCTGTTGACAATGGCAGCAGGGCAGCAGCTACTGTAAACTCCTCTGAGGTAGAGCAGTCCTGCAGGAGAGACGAGACTCAATGTGAGACAAAACAGCAGAGATGTTACAAAATCTTCATATTTTCATCAGTCGAGCTGCAAACATAGAAGCAATGATCTCATTCACTGGTTAGACAGACGGTGGCTGAAGAGCAATCAGTTCTGCTTAACCTAATAAGATAAACTCCATATTCCTGGACCAGACCTACAAAAAAGGCCAAGTCCAAGTGGATAACTAATCACCTGCAGTAAATTAGCATCATGGAGATATGATTTAAGGAGAAACCTGATGTGCAAACAATCCATCTTCACAGAGTATGTTATATAAAAAATCTGGGCGATCCTCATAGAAAGGAATGCCAAAACTCTCACTCTGGTCTCTTCAATTCCATTATTAGGCCATGTGCTTTCAATACACTTATATAATCCCCTCCTTGACACAATTGTAAGAGCTATTTTTTATTGTTTTGTCAGATTATTGACAATGTCGGCCTTAACATTCTTAAACCAGATCGTCATATGAGACTAATTCAAATAAATGACAAAATGTTCCATGAAATCCAAATATTTTGTCCATTAAATTATCCAGAACATCAATCAGGCTGCAACAATTACAAAGAGAGCTTTTACTATTTATAAAGAAGACGTGCCTGTTTGAGACAGATGAATGGTGAATTAAGGGGCTTAAAGTAGAGAGGATTAGGGGCCCAAACTAAACTTTTTGTACAGAGACAACATAAAGGGGATAAAAATGGGAGAAAGTACATATGTTGGGGTTTAAAGTACTTGACTAACAGGAAATTGGTTTTTATCTCTGGTGAGCTGTGTTGGGATTTATTTGCTGAAAAGAAATGGTCAGAGGAAGCTTGATTTAAGACCCCTTGAAAACAGCAGCCCTTTTTCTGACCTGCCACCAAACCTCATGACCCCCAGCGTGTCTTCGCAGACGGCATCAGCCTTCATCTAAAGCAATGTTGAGAATTTCTCTGCACTGTTTGTGAATGCAAACTTTCAGAAGCTGCAGTTCCCAGATACTGAGATACAATTAGGAGATATAGTCAAAGGAATGCTGCCCATTTCACTCATTCTTGATGATACAATGTTCCGAGTAAGAAGATCCAAAACGCATGAAAGCCTGGCCCCGTCAACATAATTTCTGTTTTACTTGTCGCAAGTTTTTCCTTATTTGGGTTGCGTTGAAATGTTCCAGCTTGTTGGAGCGGCACCAAAGCTTTGTTTACCAGCATCCCTAACAAAGCCACAGGTCACAGGAGTTCATGGAGCACAGTCAAACAGAACAACAAGTGGAACAAGAGAGAAAAAAAGTGTGAATATTTAACAAACTGCTCAAATTCCCAGAAAAAAAACCTGATGAAACAGAAACGTAAAGTTTTTCGCACTGAAAATAGCCTGTGTTATACTAAAGATAGAGACAGCCTCACAAAGTTTCTTTAAAAAAAAAAAAGAATATTTTCTTTTTATCACTTAAAAAAGGATCTCAATTATTTCTTATAAACACTTAAATAGACCCTCGACAGACGAACAGATCTTACTGCCGACGGTTTGCAAATTTAAACATAGAGTTGGGTGTTATAAGTTAGCCATAAATATAACTAACAAATGGACAACAAGAGATTACATGAAGAGGCAATAAACGATTGCATTTTCTACTTCTACATGTAGAGTGGTGTCATGAGCTTGTGTTCTGTGCCCTACACTGCCCCCTACAGTCTACCAAAACACTGGGTTCAGCAGGGAAAAACCTTGTAGAGCATAAAAAGGCTACAAATGCTGTTTCGGGAACCTTCTGCACAGGACTGAGAGAAACAGGACATAGAAGAGTCAGACATGAACCAACAGTAAATGTTACATGTTTAGGATTAGCAATAAGAAAGACACCTGTTATATCTATTGAAAGGTTCCAGGGTGGAAAGCACTGCACATCATAGGAAAGGATAAAAGCAGAACTGACACTGGCAAGGAAAAATGTATCAGGTGGCACAGTGGTTAGCATGTACGACTCATATATAGAGGCCTTAGTCCTCGACGAGGTCGATCCGGGTTCGAATCCGACCTGTGGTCCTTTGTCTTTCTACCTCTATCATACCCCCTTTCCTGTCAGCCACTAGTTCCACTAGTGTCATAAAAAAAAAAAAAATGCATCTTCATGATCCTGAAGACTTGGGGAAAATATTGTCTGTAAAGATGATGCCAAGATCTTCCTCTCTGGAAGATGTGTATCACTTTAAACAGCAGCATTTCAGAACATGTAAAATCATACAGACAGTCCAACGCTGTGTTGTTAGTACGATGGTCTGGGGCTGCTTTGTTGTTTTTTACGACCTAGATGATTTTCTGCAATACATGGAACCATTAAAATTATCTTTAACACACAAGGATACCCACATAGGATTAGTTCAAGAAAAAAACAAAAAACAAAATGGACTGAACAAGCAGAATCTGCAGCTAATTCCATTTGATAGACTATGAAATGCAAAAGATTTTAGCCATTAAGTCCCTGCTATATGGCATAGTCAAAAACTCCCACAGAAATATGTCATTGCAAGTGTTTTGGAGTAGTAAAACCAATTATTAGGGCCAGTTTGTTTTATTCAGCTTATATTTCATTCAGGGTGATGATCTAAAAACATACAAGTCTGACATAAAAAAAAACAAAAACAACTAAAGACAACTGTGTGGGGGGGGGAAATGCTTTTTCTAACAATTATAAAGTAAGCATGATCAGCTATACAAACAGAGTTTCTAAGAGGCAACTCAGAAGCTCTAAAGGTCAACTAACACAGCCAACAGAAATCAGGGCATGGCATGAGATTAGCTGGAGCGACGGCTGTAAACTGAGATGGAACAAGGGCTCAGTGATTGTCACTAGGTTCAATAGTACCTCTCGCTGCAGAATGGTGGCGGGGGGAAACGATGTTAACCTGTTTGGGATTTCAAGAATGGTGGGTGAGAAGTGATTGCCACTCTGCACGCCTGTTGACTAAGACACCCTGCTGTCTTCATTTCCTTCCATTATTTACTGGATATCTCACCATTATTCCTAATTCCTGAAACTCCTGGGGCAGAAACGGCAACAATGACTAAGAGAGCTATTCTCTTTCTGACACGTATGCAGGCAAACAAAAAAGAAACAAGAAAAAGGAGGCTGTGTTTGCAAACATGCAGGATGTGAAGAAGCAGTAACTTCCTTCTTGTGAGTATAAGAAAAGTGGAACTTTCCAAGAAAACTGTGGGATGAAATTACAACTGTCAGAGTGATGGGACATTAGAGGCCAGTGTAACAAAATAAATGCAGTTTCTATCGAGGAAAGGGAAGGCAACGCAGGTTTCTATGCACTGATGGTAGCTCCAAGTACTTAATAATTTATCCTCCAAGATATCAATTTTTTGGTAACTTGGATACAAACACCACTTTGCAGAAGACAAGGCAGAATCATGAGTCCAAACCTGTCTGAAACCTGAGTGTAACTGCTTCATAAAATACCACCAGCAATCTTGCCTACTGTGTGTGTGATATATTACCTACTGTTAATTAGGTAAATAAAAGTTAGAAACCTAATAAACTCAGTAAAAAAGTTAAAACTGAATTTAAAAAATAACTTCCTACGTCAGTATTAATGTTCTGAGGGTTATTTTTAAGAAAAATGTGTTTCTTCCTTTAAGCACTTTTCCCCCCTGAATTTCTTATAGAAGCACTGTGAATTTTATTTGACCATATTAGGACAAGCGACTATTACTGATTACACTAACCTAGATTTTTAAAATAAAAGTACCTTTTTTAAATGTTAAAAAAGTAATAAGGTTTTAATTATAAGGTCCTCTAATAACACTGTTGACCTGAGGGTGTTATTGGAGGTGAAATACTTTAAAATTCAAAGTATTTTACTGAGTGCCCTATAAAGGGTTAAGAGAAAAATACAAGAACAAGAAAAATGACATAATATAATATATTGAAAGAGTGAAAGTGCGGTAAATAATTATTTCTCCAATGTTTAATTAAAGTAGAAAAAAAATCTTAATAGCATTAAAAATAATAATGGATTATATTTCTGATGCACTTTAAAGCTACAGTGTGTAATTTTCAGCGACATCTAACGTCCAGACTGCAGACCGCAGCAACATGAACATCTCCCCCCCACCGCTTCTCTCCCCCAACAGTACGGCGAGCGTTACGGGACAAAATGTCTTCCATGACGTCCGCATCACCTACCTTCTCAAGTGATGAGGTTTGTTTACATAGTTAATTTTACAGATAGTATTTTAATTAGTCTGTGTAGGGTATAGATTTCAGTACCATCTCAGTTCATCTCTCTCAACTTGCCGTAGTTACTTTCGAGCGTAATGGGCGATCTCGCAATCGCTAGTTTGTTGGCTCTGCGCTGCCGTAGCGCAAAGATGTCTGCCTCCATGGCTGCGAGACCCGCTCCTAAGTAATTATAAATAACGAATTCTAATCTAACGAATTTCAGTTCAGAGGTGGGAAGGCAGTTATTTTACAATAAACCAGGATATAATGCTGGGAGTTAGAGAGCCTGGGTCTCACTGCCAGCTGGTTTGACTGGAACTGGACTCAAATGTTGCCCTTTACAGCTCCGCCACAGCATCAATGGCTTGATGACCAAAAGCTCTGATTCCCTTTGCCAGCATCTTTTTGAATTTAGGCCAAAGGAAATAAGGCGACCCTGAAGGCAGAGGTGGAGGTTCAAGCCAGCTCCAGCAAAGTCAACCTAAATAAATTGGCCCTTCAGAGTACAATTACAGAATATCCGTCTGCATCCATAACAACCATGAGATTTCTTCGAAATGCGTTTTCTTTAGCATTAAAGACGATTAACAGAGATATAAAACTTTCATGTTCTCGTGAATATCCAAGAGGAAAAGTTATGGGAATGAGATCGGGCCAAAATTCCCAGTGACCACGTTACATAAAGGTCATCTCCATCAAGGCCAATGAGGCAGAAAGGGGCCCTGTTCTCACAGCAGGAGACCCGTATGCCAT